GCTTTATTCGTGTGAGCTTAAAGGTGTTAGTATAACGACCCCCAAATCCTTTATTCGTGTCCAAACATGAGTCGCCCGTGTGTCCCGGAACTCTTACAGTTGAGTTTCCATAGAGGTTCTACATAGGATGTTCATGTGTTCTTGCTAGGAGTGCAAAATGGAGTGTATTGTTGGAGTTAGTTCCTTAAAAAGAGAGCATTGGTCGATAAATATTTAGGTGGCAAGTGTTTTTACTCTCTAATACCCTCCTCAAAAAACAAAAAAAAAAGAGAAAGAAAAAAAAGAGAAATGAAAAAGAGGTAATAAAATGGGATAAATAATGTAGAGAGTGCCACGAAAAACCAAAGTACATGCTCTAGGAAGGGGTTTCTTGGCACCTAAGCCAACGAAACCCCCACATTGTTTAGAACTCCTTCACTACCAAACCTTAAAAAACTAGCAAGAGTTGACCGAGGAAGAGTGCTTCAAGGTAGTTCATGATTGGTGATAGTTGGAAGAGAGAGATAAGAGTTTTGGCCGATGCTAGTGGCCTTTGATTGAAGATAAGGGTTTTAGTCGAAACCATAGAACTTTCGGGTTTAGGTTGAAGATGTAGAACCTCACGTCATGATTGCCACCACCCAAAAAGACTTTTCCCCATATCCAAGCCAATCGCTAGTCATATGAACCCGTGTCTAAGACCTCCGGACGAGCTAGTGGTGGCAACCATCCCATGAACTCTAGCGTATAGAGGTTACCGCCGTGGTATTGAGACGATAGGGCCGAAAGGTTTAGATTGTGAACATCTTTTGCACCAAAAAGGTCCCGACCCCACTGGTCTTGAGAGTGAGCGATTCATTCTTGCTTTGCATGTCATATCATACACTAGTGAGGACCTTTGTTTCCTTTCCATTTGTTCCGCTGACTTGAATTCCATGCATGGTTGGTTGTGGTCGATAAGTGGTTTGGTTGAGACTTGCATTTATCCATGCATAAGTTGAGAACTGTTCATTTGCCCGTTTTGGGGGCACTGAATGTTTTTTGTGGTGGATGTCAGAATTGCTTGCGACGGTTCATATGTTGATTGTCAATAAACATCGAGAATTCCCGCTTCGTGTCCTTTGAGTTGTCCCCAAAGCATTTGTGTAGGTTGAAATATTACCGTGTGTGTGAAATGGTTTGCTTGGGGATAAGCAAACGTCTAAGTGTGGGGGAGTGATTCGGGCCTAATTCCGCATATTTTGCCCCCGGCTTGCTTAGATGTTTGTGCAAAATTCGCTCATTAGAGGTTGGTTTTACGCGGGGTTCTTCGTGTTTGAGTGATTTTCCGGATTTAACAGGTGGAACCAGCCTCGGAGTCGAAGGATTGGCGAAAAGGATCGAAAACGGGGAGAAGAGGTGAAGAAAACGCAAATTCACGGCTAAAGGCAGGAGTTCACGGCCGCACCATTTTCTCCCTTCGCTGTTGCAGTAGTAAGGAAGTGCCACTACTTACTGCAGGGGATTTCAAATTGCTGGTCACTGTGGAAAGTTCTGCCCTCAAGTTTCTTGAAGCTAGTTGCACACTTGGCAATTAGTCGGGGTTCTGAGTAGTTTCATTACGTTTAGCAGGACCAGCAACCTGAAGCCATTGGAGAAAATGCACAAATCAAGACTTTGCACTTTAGACCTGATATAGAAGAAGGGTTCTTGCGCTCACATTTCGATCGGAACGAGGACAGTCTCGAAACTCAAAAGTGTTTAGTATCATTCATATATACCTGGCTCGATAATGGAGTAGCAGGCCCTTGAGGTACATCATTGACTTGAACCGTCGAAACTAGAACTTCAAGCACGACAGTATCGTTCACAATGAACCCTTCACCAGGATTGAGAAGCTTGCTGATCTCAATGAAGGTTTAGAACCCCCAGCCTTGCCCACCTACTATGAATTCTTGTTTGGCAGCTGGGTCTGCTAGTGGGAGATTTAGCACGAACCATCACCGAAGTTTTAGTCTTGTTCCTCAAACCATTTCAATGATCAAATCTAACATATCAACTACATTACAAATCCGACGTGGCATATATATATATAGGAGATGATGGTTGTTACATTTTCGGAGAGACAAAGCGGAATTGATGTGGTTGACAAGAGTCAGGGTGAATTCGGCAGTCACCTTTCTACCATGGTGGCTTCTTTCCGATTCAGTTAACAGCAAATACACTTATAACAGCCAGATATCGATGATCCCTACTACTTCTTCCTTTAGGGTAAACGCTAATATTCCTGCACAAAAAGGTTTAATCAAACAGAAGCCGCTACTTAGGGTTTCTGCCAAGTGCCACCAATCACACTCTGTGATACTACTCTCTAAAGAAGGTCTCTTACCCGTGGCGGACCCAGAATTTTGGTATAGGTGTGTCTGCCAATAAATAAAAATTTAACTAATTAATTAATTTAAAATAACCATAAAAATTTATACTTTAAGTTCATCAATTTCATTATTCTGAAATTGATGAACCACTACGAGTTTATTTTGCCTATTTTTTATAGTGAACCACTACGAGTTTTCATATTCTAAAAAATTTCATTAGTTGCATTTGCTCATTAGGTTGCAAATCAAATATTTTTTTATATACACAACTAAAAATTATTCATAAATTAATCACTCAACTTATACCAAAGATTTTTCTCGATTAAACTCCTATATGGAAAATGTCATTTTTTAGCTTGCAATTGCAATAAGAAACACTAATTTAATACGAGAAAGCCGGTATAAGAAGCTGGAAGGGTGGCCACAGGCATCAATGTGTAAGTTTGAATTAGAATGAGGATATCGTCGGCCAATGCCGACAATTGGATGGTGGCGACAGGCGTCAACGTAAAAAGAAATAGCTAAACTAGCTAGAAAGCAAGTAGAAAGTTAACTTAAGAAGAATCCATGGAAGAAGTTATGGGGAAAAACAGTGTGAAATTCACTATCTAATTACTTGACTCAATCAGATTATTAATCAACTTAAATTTCGTTCAATTTATTTAGCTTATCTCTAAGGTATAGTTATCTTTCTGAATGCTCACTACATAGTAAGTAGTCAATTAATTGTTTACTCTTGTACACCCAACTAATTATCTACCTAATCTGAAATCGGATAACCCTTATATTTACATATTTTAATATTATTACCATAACATTTTTTTTAATATAATAAGGTTAAGGTGTGTTGATTACAATTATTGAAGGTGTGTCGGAAGTCTCGTGTACAAAATTTTTTACACAAAAAAAAAATATATGGGTTCGTCACAAAAATTTCGGAGAAAGGTGTGTCGGGTGACACACCTTGCTACAAGGTGGGTCCGCCACTGACTCTTACCATTTGTGGCCGCCAGCTGAGAAGTTTTCAGAATTGAGCTTGCTTGCTTGGATTGAGAAATTCTGAATCCTGCAAGTGATTTTTGCAGCATTGGTTTTCTGATCTTTCGCAGCCATTTCCAAACAGTAGCGCCTTCTCTGATTAAGCAGCCATGAAAATTTCAGGTACCTAGAGTATGCAGAGAAAAGAGACCAAGTTGATACTCACCCGGAGAAGGACGGAAAGAAGGGAAGAGCGGAACAAGGCGGGAGAGGGTGGAAATGAAGCAGCGAGCTAGATGGTTGCGCGGCGGAGGAGGAGAACTGTGTAAAAGAAATCGATCTGGGTTTTCAAGATTTCTCGAAGAACAAGGAAAGAGGGGAAAAGTGAAGAGAATCCAAAAGGGGAGGAGAAAGAAGATAGACAAGCAGACTTATGCTTTCTGTCTTTCCACTTCCGATGGGCCTTGTAGACTTAGGCATGCATGCTTTTGATCACAGTTGGATGGGCTTGGAAAAACTAACAGTCAAAGCCCATGCAAGTTAAAAGGATCTTCTTCTTGAATCGACCAGCTCTGCAGCAAGGGAATTTCCAGGAGCAGAGTTCGAAAGAAGTACACCAGAATTGCAGAATGAAGAAAGGTAGGAAAGTAACGAAGTCACAATGTTTTTTAATGTGGTTCACCCAGTGCAATGGCTACTTCCACATCCCAGAGATCAGCATCTGCTGTACTCCAGGAGAAGTTATTTTAGTAAATGAAAGACACAATCCTAAGCTAAGGCTTAGCCTTCTGCCGTGATTCCAACCAGGAATCACAATTACAGCCTTGTGCAGTCAGAACCTATACCTCTGACTTACACAAGCCCTTTGATCCCTAGAACCCTTTCCCGCTCTAGTAATTCAGCCTATCAAAGTTACAACAAACCAAGAGCCTTCGTCCTTTAAATAGATGCAGAGTCTGCTAGCCGTTGGAGACGATTTGTCCGTTGGAGGGCTCCTTTGATTCTGGAGATTTCGCGCCCAAAACCTTGCAAAAGAATCTGATTCCTGGAATTGTTGAGTGCTTTCCATATTTGCTTCAATCAAGCACCAATTTCTCCAACAAACTGAACCACCGTTGGAGTGACTGTTCAGCTGCCCGGCGGGAGAAAATTTTAATTTTCCGAGGGGAATGGGGTTTCTGGCTTTCTACTTTTAAGCGCGCTCATTTATTCGACATGCAGAAATTTGGTTATAATACGTAAATGACTTGTGCGAAAAGCTGTGCGCAGGCCGTTTAATTAAAAGACACACTGACACTCCATGAAGGGCTGAGATCGTTGCAGGAGGGGAGATAATGGATTGTGGGCCTGCCAGTCTGAAAAGCTTCTGCGATCTGGGCCCAGTCGGCCACGTCGTCGACTTCAGCCACTTTCCTAGCTCGCCGTCGAGAGCTAAAATTTCGAAATCCGAATCGACTTCCCTTTCAATTCACACGGTCGTTCTCTCTCTCTCTCTCTCTCTCTCTATTAGCAACTCTCTCTCTCCCTCTTCTTTCTCCTGCAAATCAGAAACACTAAACAATTTCCCAGCAAATTTTGTCATGCTACTGCTACTGCACGCACCTACCGCTAAGCTTCGTACGCCGCGTGGCGGCAGGGTCGAACTCAGTTCCCGATCTCGAGAATTTTGCGAGATCTATTACCGAAGACCAGCAGGAGTCGAGCGAGCTGTCGATGACAGACTGGATCTGATTCGAAAACGCAGCAGCGTGACGCGTGAGCATTCGGAAACTCGGCAGTTCTCGGGGAAGTAAGGGAGCTAGCCGCAAGCTGGTGCTGGGTTGATCATTGGTTGCCCTTCTTCTCATCCTCCAGCTTCTGACTGCTACGCCCTTATCTCCTGGGCAGGTTAGCCAACACTCACAACTTCTTTTACAAAGTTACGCAATTTTTAGGGCTGATTGAGTTCTTGATTTTGGTTGTCCATGTCAATCCGATTGATCAGTACCAAGAATAGTTTGTTTGGTAAACTCTTAGCTGTTTATGTTCTGATTGAATCTGCTACCTTTGACACAGAAGGTTGATTCAATGGGTGCCTGTGGTGGTAGCTCCACGAAACCTTCAACGAGTACTAGGGGAAATGTGCCTACTTGGGGCACTACTATAGATGATTTTCCTCCAGATGCTGATTACATGGCGTTCCTGGGTTTGTGCCTTTCGTCAGCAGCTGATTCTGACCGTGGGGTCCGTGCTAATAGTGCTCATGCTAGTGAAGCTGCCACTCGCAATGTGGGTTCTGGTTTAATTGGGGACTGGCAGGCAGACGACCTCTTCAAATTCTTGATTGGGAAAGATGGTGGCAGTAGCATTATTAGAGCTGAGAACAATGGCGTGGATAACAATGGGGATGCTGGTGCTACCAATGGATGTGGCCTGTCTATAGATAGTGGCGGCGACGATATGGCGAAAGGAGAAGGTCCGGCGATTGTTATCGATCTCGGAATGACATACTCCTGCGTCGGTGTATGGCAGCACGATAGAGTGGATATCATTGCCAATGATCAGGGCAACCAGACGACCCCTCCTATGTTGCTTTCACTGGCTCCGAGCGGCTGATCGGCGACGCCGCTAAGAACCAGGTCACCATGAATCCGGTGAACACGTCTTCGGTAAGTTTCTGAATCCTTCGCTGAGTTCGCAAGCTGTTCTCTGTTTGATTTTGGTTTTCTTAAGGCTGATTAGGGTTTTTCGATCTGCTATTTGCCTTCGTAGCTCTGTTATAACTGCTCTAGGGAAGTAAACCTGAGAATTCTTGGCAAGTTTTTGGCCTTTAATAGGCACTAGTTTTCTTACCCGCGCTCCGCGCTGGGATTTGTGATACAATCTCAAAATAGAAAGGTTACTTAATTCGTGTTCCTTATGATCAATGTATAATTAATTTGCAAATCAAAATCCAAGTAAATGTAATAAGTTAATATAAAAAAAGTAGGTCACCTTCATGAAATTAATACCAAGTCTGCAGATATTTCATAAAGCAAAACTGAAAATTTGAAGACAGAAACCTGAAATGTAGATTTGAACTTCCAATCATTTATATAACTACCTAGCATTCGAGTGCATGAACATGAACATATTACGTATTATGACATTGGATCTATAATAATTTGTGCAAGGACATATAAAAAATTTGGTGCGGTTCTTACATATCCTCTTTCATATCCATATGCGTCGTCATATGATTGACCCAGATCCAAATGGTTCAAATATAAAAAACAGCATATTGTAACACATTCAACTATAATCTATTGCATTTACAGTTATGGTAGATAACATTTGAACACACACTTGGTACAAATAAGTAAAAATATTGAAGCTTTCCTAACTAAGAACTTCCCAAACCAACCAAGCAAAAGAGTATTTTAGGGTAAACTGACCAACAACAAATGTTACAGAGACTTCCCTCAAAGACCAAATCCATCTCCATACTTCTAATTAATCAACTACAGATACTTTAGAAGAAAGTTGCCCACAAAAGTGGCAAAAAAATCTGTATTGGAAATATTTTGGTCTACCACTTGTCTCTTGAATGCTTGACCACAAAGTACACATTTTACAATTATTCAGGGCCTGAATCACATTTTCCATCATTGCCACGCCAAGAACACCATTTAGATGGAAGGGAAAACAAAATATGATGGTCTATAGTAGTTATTTGAAGGCTTGTTGGTGTTGACTTGATCATTCTGCAGCCACCACCAACTATATAGTAAAAACATGTTTTAGTCCTAAGAAAGGGTACAACAAAAGACCATATGTTTTCTTCGGTGATTCAGGGGGAAAAAGACACTATCACCAAGCCAACAGGAAAACAAATAACTTAATCTCCTAACTCACAAACGAACACTTTGCTCAATCTAAAGAGAAGGGAAAGCACATAAACAACTGCAGAAGAATATTATACTTAAACCGAATGCAACCTAATGCAACTACAACGGGTTGAAGACCAGACAAAAAAAAAAGGATGGCAGGATGAGAAATCCATCACTATGGCATACACCACCTTACACATATATGTTTATTCATTGTTCCCAACACCCGACCATTTTCGATGTAGTCAAAGTAAACAGTTGCAAAATCACAGAGTTGAAGTCAAATTTAAATCGCCAACAACAAAGAAAAGATGAGATTCAGTAAGCCAAGACAAACTCATGAAAGAAACTATGACCTAGCACATAAAAGATAGCTTACAAATGGAAAATGACGACAAAACCCTTCCAAAACCACATATCCTTTCCTTCTCTCGTCGGGAGCTGATTCACCTTGCCCCAACTGCAGCATTGGAGGATTCCTCTACCATGGATGAATTTGGAATCCTACAACAAAACAAAGGACCACTGAAAGAGAGAGATACTCACAAAGGAGAGACTGCCATTAAAGTAAGAGCAGGAGAGACATGATACAAAGGAAAGGCTGAATCTCTTGGCAAGAAATTGGGCTTCTTGGCGACATTCGATGATCACCCCTGGCCGCTTCTTTCTCTAACTGTGAAATCCTTGAATGTATCTCCCATGTCCCATGATAAGAAATCGAACGAATCAATCAGCTGAAAAAAGGGAAGGAGCGAATCCATGTCAGACTATTGAGAGCAAAAAAATACTTTGCATAAAGAACAACTACCTAAACCAAAACCCATTCCGTTGATCTGCATCTTCTGGTAGCCCTCTCTGTACCTTACAAATCCAGATCAACCTAGTGTTCCACTCATCTTAGAGCGGCAAATAAAAGAAACCAGGGAAGGGATATGACAAGAGTCCTTAACAAATGAAGAAAACTTGGCATTTGGACTACCAATTATTATGTACAAAGGTATCGAATCGGCTCCAAAACTGACATGTGTATCCACTATTGCTGTTTCTGCATCCATTATAGTTGTTTCTACTACACCTGTAGCATTAAAACAAACGATTATGCCCGCAATTGAAGAAATAGAGGAAAAACAAATTTATAGAAAAGAGAAGAAACTCATTCGAGAGGCAGAAAGAACAATCACCTGAACCAAAAGCACCATGCCTATAAGAAAGTTTGGATCTGGCACTTTTCCATACAACACTTGATCAACTCGAGCTGGAGCCGCATTTGCCTTCCCATTGGCATGCTGCTCCGGCAAGAAATCAGAACAAAACCAATTACTTTTGCTCAGGCAAAGGCGACCTTACTGGCTCAATTGAACGCACGCACAATGAGGAGAGAGCTTCATAAACACCACTGAGAGAGGAAACAGAAGAGAACCAAAGTAAGATGTAGAGCTACTCAACAGTAATGGTTGAGAGAAAGCAGGAAATCTCACCCGAAATCCATTTATGGATGATCTTATGGCTCGTTTTGGGTTTCTCGATTGATTGCCCTTTAAATCCAAGCAATACTCTTCTTTTGTTGGCTGCAAACTGAACCTCAACAACCACCCCAGGCCAACAAAATCCCTGTTGGGAACTTGTCGCCTGCATTTCTTCATAAGAGAGATAAAAAAGAATTAAAAACTAAGCTAGAAAAAAACTAAACACCACAGAAAAGAGATGGAGCAAAACCATGAAAATCTCACCTTATAACGTCCTTGTTCGCAATTCTGGTTCCCCTCTGTCGTGGATATCGTCTCCCCCCATAGTGGATACTGTCCAATCCCGATCAACAATCTAACAGGTGCAACCGATCTTGCAGTTCTGGGTCTTCTCCGCATTCCCTCCGCTTGCAACGACCACTTGAATCCTATGTTTAGTTTTCCACCATGGACAACGCAGAAGATACCACTCCCTTCTTGCTCTGACATTGGTGATTTTTTAGAGAATGAGCTCAATTGCTCCACCAATCTTTTCAATTTTCGCTGATCCTGAAGCTCGCTCGGACGATGTTAAAGGTGAGAAGAAGTGTGAGAAACAAATTAATTGGAGCTTTCTGCAAAGATATCCAATTCAGATGGGAGCGAGGAAATGTTGAGTAAAGAGGAAAAAGAAACATGATGTGTGAGAAGTAGAGTTGAGGAGGTAGTTAGAATATGTGGTGGAGAATAAGAGCTTTGATTTCCCCCTACTGATATCTCCATTCTCTACTCACAGTCTCACTGACCCTCCCTCTCTTTTCTCTGCAAGACGAAAAGCATATGTCAATAAAAAGGGTGAGTCACCATCTCCCATCAAAAGCCATCGATGGGATGAAACGATGACTGAAATCCCCACTCCGCAAGCATCCATCAGCAAACTCTCAACACCCAAAAAATCATCGGCCCCACAAAGCATCCCTGTGACCAACGCGATTTTTCTCTGAGCGTGCTCCAGTTTTCTCCAAATAAAAGAAAGAAAGAGAGCACCCAATCGACGGCAGGAGGACACAAAAGGCCCACCACAACCCAACAGCCAATCAGAACTCGGTGAACAGGAAATTTGAGTATGTATGAATAGTAAAAGCAGTCTAGATGTACAGTGTTAGGTGTTTTGGGCTATTATACTTTTAATTACAAGCGGTAAAACTAATCTAAACAAGGAAAGGAAAAATAAACAAACGACAACTCAGAATCCTAAACAAACAAGGAAACTTATAGTTGCATTGATGCGGGTCGCAGTGGAAATGTGGCCAGCTCCAGCAACCATAGTTGCACTCCAAATATGTTTGTCCAGTGTGTGTTGAGCTCACACCAAGACATCTGGCTTGCCCGCATAGTCTTGTTCGCAGCTGACAACATCCCTTCACTGCCACTGGTATGCATTCCCCACTTGGATGTACCTGAAAACAAGATCACTTAATTAAACATACATATAAGAAAACAATATCATCAGCCGATTACCCCTGCTTTCCAAAATGTACCTATAATTTCTTGGGGTGTTCTCGAGGTGATTAGTTTCCTTTGGGTCCGATCACACTTCACTAGTGTCGAAATTCTGAGTGGTGACCCCGTTTTTGGGCACAGCATTCTCAGCAACAATCACCATGATCACCAAGCACCCGGCTTTTTCCCCCTGCTATCAAAATAAAACCCCTTTCTTTAGTGACTCTCTCCTGGCGATTGATCAACCAAAAGGAACGATTTTTACATCAGAAACAGAAGAACCTCAGGAACCCAGAAAGGAAAGAAATGACGCAATAGATCAAAGCAATTCAAGAGTTGTTGAAGATTGAGGAGCTCACTCTTACCTTTGCCTTATCTAAACGATTCCCAAAGAGAAAACACGACAGCAGAACCGCTGAGGGGAGGACAAACGAAAAACCTTCTTGAGAGAGAGATCGTCTTTATGAAGAGAGCTGAAGGGAAGGGAAGGGAAGGGAAGGGAAGGGAAGGACAGAGCCGGAAAAAAACAAAAACCAGCTGCTAACAATTTTCTGATTGCTGACACAGAGACAGAGAGAAATGGAAATGGTTAAAACAGAGAGCAACTTTTTCTCTTTTGTAAATTTTTTAACTTTGCTTTACCCAGAAGAGCATTCTTCCCACTGCTTTTAAATTAATAATAATCACAAAAGTCGATTTGATTCTTTGCAAAGAGAAGGAAAGCGAGGAGGAAGAACTCGTTGCTCGGGAGTAGTTGAGAGAGGGATTGGGAGAGAGATAGTTTGTTTGTGTTGTTCTTTGGATCGTCCGTTTGTGTAGGGGCACTATGGACCTTCTTGACAACTTAATTGCTCTCTTCTCTCATCGCCTTCTTTCATCTTTTTACTGTTTACGCAATCGCCATATCAGATATATAACCGGACAAAATATATGATGCCAAATCTGTACCATATCGATCTGCCAAATATACTCAGATGAGCAGACTTTGGTTTACCTGTGCCACAAGGCATAATAGGTGTTAGAGCTTAGAAGAGAGCAATAAACCATGGAGCAATGTTTGCATGATTCACTATCCAATGTAATAATGTTGGTGATTTATCAAATTTTATCTATTTGGTAAATCGCTTTACTATCAAGTTGCAAATAGAACAGGACTAAATAGCGAACTTAATTAATATTTCAAGTTCTATCCTTGTGGAGCATAAGAAGTATTTTTTGGCTCGCAACTATTCGGATTTCAGGTGAGTTTATCAAGTTGTGTTTTGACAAGTTTAAAGATAGCTTATAGTCTTGAATGTGTGAAGTTGATAGAGCGCGTGGGTTGTGAAACTCGCCCAATACAATCGTGGACTTTAAATTTAATAAAAATCTCAAGACAAACTGGTATTAAATATTTTTTCATGATATTAAGAATGAAGAATGTGTTTAACTGTTAAGTAAACCATATTTCCAACTATTACTTTGCACAAACGATAGTATCAGTCATTTTGAGATGTGTAGTTTATGGTTCACAGATTAACTAGCATCTTTGGTTAATCGGGCCTGACCCGATGCCGAGGAAACAGATGCACCCGAAACCGTACACCAGGCCCAACTGGAAGGGCCCATTTTGAGAATTTTTGTATTTTGGAGAGACGGAAAAGAGGAACCCTAATCCCATTATCAATCTCCTCTTTCTCAAGCTCCGCTTCTGCCTGTCTTCGCCTCAGTCATTGATTGCCGCCACCTATCACCGTCTCCAACAGCTAGTCGTCGTCGTCGTCGCGCGTGCAAAGTCTGATCCTTTCTTTGCCGTTTTGTGTGGTGATTCTGCCACCGTCCATTACATTTCGTCGCAATCAAAAACATCGCCCCATCTCTCTGCCAATTTCTACTCCTCTTTTCCGGTGAAAGCTGCAGAATTTTCGAGGGGCCGGTTTTACGAGCTTAGATCCGAAGCAGAATCAGAGTTTCGGTTTTGTCATCGTCTTGGTTTGTTTGTGCCTCGGGTAAAAGCTTCTACCCCTGCTAATTAAGTCATTGCTCGCAGATTGCGGATTTGCGGTTGCTCCAATGGGTCGTCGCCAATGTGAACAAGTAATATTCTTTTTCTTGGTTAACATTTACAATTAAAGAGATATAGCTGCATCCTTTAAATTGTTACTGTGTACGCAGATATCCCTATCTGTATTCTAAACATTGGACGAAGCCGGAAACACGAATTTGGTGTGCTCCAAATCGGGTATGTGATGCTTTAAGTGATATTAATAATAATCAGAAAGATTTCTTGCTGCAAAAGGGATTTGGGAAGTTCCTTTGGATTGTTATGATCCAACTTGATATATATATGGGTTCATGGCTCATAAACCAGTATAACCCCACTGATCATACCCTCACACTTCCATATGGAACTGTGCATCATGTCGTGGAAGAAGATATTGAGTTTGTGTATGGGCTGCCCAGAGGGGATCTGGAAGTCCTTACCATGGAAACCGACACTGATCAATTTCTTCCTGCACAACTGTCCGACTTGGCAGTTGCAATGAATACAGCTCATGATCCAGAGAGCTGGTTCAAGTTGTTTTTTGTATACTTATGTAACTCTCTCTTTGTTGGTTCGAATCATGATGTTGAGACAAAGTTTGAGAATCTTGTTAATGATAAAATCTTGTTGAGTTTCAACAACTTCAACTGGCGCAAGTACTTCCTACACCTATTGAAAGATATTATTGCTTCTAAACCTAGAGCAAATCGTCGTGCTGATTATTATTTCCTTGTGGTAAGTTTCATATTTAATTATTATTCATGTATCAGTGGGTTGGCATATATTGGTTTTCTTTTTTGTATTAACCATTTTTTGTTTTGTTTGTTTTTATTATTGAAAGTTCTGTATCTTGTTAAATCACTAGAGATCGAAAATTCAGAAAACCTCGCTGAGTGGCTTCAATCGAGATTTTGTGAAAGAGAAACTGAATGAGGCAATAGGACAGGACTACCTTCGTAGGGGTATTGACACTGAGGAAATTCGTCTCGAACATGACTGTGCCAAAAAGGAGGCTGAAAAGGGTAAAAAAGCCAAGGGTTCTACAACATGTGACAATGTTGGTGCCGGGATGGAGTTTGATTCTGCTACTCTGTGGAAGAAAATCACAATTCCTATACCTGAGATTGTGATTTCTGAAGTTAAGAGTCATAAAGAGGTAAACTCCCCCCCCCCTCTCTTGTTGGTTTTTGACAAGTTACTTGAAGCAATTATTAGTAACCTGTTTTGCAGGCTATCTTGCTGGAGAAGCAACTAATTGAAAACCATGATAACTGTCTTGATGCACTTGGTGTAGCCTTGGAAAAGGTTCGGGAATTCATCAGTTCGGCAAATCATAAACAAACAGATGCACAAGAAGAAATTGATGAAGAAGTAGGAACCGAGAATGAAGAACCCTTGTCTGATTCCGTTATCCCGCCTAGGAAGGAAGATGGTTAAGAAGAAAACATAGAGATGACAGAAGAAGACACCGAGAAAGGAAAAGCAGGAACTGTTTCTAATGATACTCCTAGTGACCAGATGCCTTTAATCCAACTCATATCATCTGCAAAAAAGGCTCGAAAACAAAAAAAAAACCCAAAAATGTAAGTTTCTGACTCTGCTTGCTCCTGTAGCTGTGGATGCGGTTTTACTTCATTCTTTCGTGCATCAGAACCATGCTACTCCAATTACTAGTTTACTTCTTGTTTTTTATGTTGTATTAAGGAGCAAGAAGTAAACTAGTATTTGGAGTAGCATGGTTCTGATGCATGAAAGAACGAAGTAAAACCTCATCCACTGCTAAAGGAGCAAGCAGAGTCAGAAACTTACATTTTTGGTCTGTTTATGTTTTCGAGCCTTTTTTGCAGACGATAGGAGCTGGATTAAAGGCATCTGGTCACTAGCAGTATCATTAGAAACAGTTCCTTCTTTTCCTTTCTCGCTGTCTTCTTCTGTCATCTCTATGTTTTCTTCTTCACCATCTTCCTTCCTAGGCGGGATAACGGAATCAGACAGGGGTTCTTAATTCTCGGTTCCTACTTCTTCATCAATTTCTTCTTGCCCAGCTGTTTGTTTATGATTTGTCGAACTGATGAATTCCCGAACCTTTTCCAAGGCTACACCAAGTGCATGAAGACAGTTAGCATGGCTTTCCATTAGTTGCTTCTCCAACAAGATAGCCTGCATAACAGGTTACTAATAATTGCTCCAAGTAACTTGTCAAAAACCAACAAGATAGGGGAGGGGGGAGAAGATTGCCTCTTTATGACTCTTAACTTCAGAAATCACAATCTCAGGTACCAACATTGTCACATGTTGTAGAACCCTTGGCTTTTTTACCCTTCTTAGCCTCCTTTTTGGCACAGTCATGTTCGAGAAGAATTTCCTCAGTGTCAATACCCCTACGAAGGCAGTCCTGCCCTATTTCCTCATACAGTTTCTTTTTCACAAAATCTCGATTGAAGCCACTCAGCGAGGTTTCTGAATTTTCGATCTCTAGTGATTTAACAAGATACAAAACCTTCAATAATAAAAACAAACAAAACAAAACACGGTTAATACAAAAAAGAAAACCAATATATGCAAACCTACTGATACATGAATAATAATAATGAAAAATGAAACTTACCACAAGGAAATAATAATCCGCACGACGATTTGCTCTAGGTTCAGAAGCAATCATATCTTTCAATAGTTGGAGGAAGTACTTGCACCAGTTGAAGTTGTTGAAACTCAACAACATTTTATCATTAACAAGACTCGCAAACTTTGTCTCAACATCATGATTCGAACCAACAAAGAGAGAGTTGCATAAGTATACAAAAAACAACTTGAACCAGCTCTCTGGATCATGAGTTGTATTCATTGCTACTGCCAAGTCGGACAGTTGTACACGAAGAAATTGATCAGTGTCGGTTTCCATGGTAGGGACTTCCAGATCCCCTCTGGGTAGCCCATACACAAACTCAATATCTTCTTCCACGACATGATGCACAGTTCCATTTGGAAGTGTGAGGATATGATCAGTGGGGTTATACTGGTTTATGATCCATGAACCCATATATATATCAAGTTGGTCCATAACAATCCAAAGGAACTTCCCAAATCCCTTTTGCAGCAAGAAATCTTTCTGATTATTTTTAATATCACTTAAAGCATCACATACTCGATTTGGAGCACACCAAATTCGTGTTTCCGGCTTCGTCCAACGTTTAGAATACAAATAGGGATATCTGCGTAAATAGTAACAATTAAAAGGATGCAGCTGCATCTCTTTAATTGTAAATGTTAACCGAGAAAAAGAATATTACTTGTTCACATTGGGGCGACCCATTCAACGAAAACTGATGGCGACGAGCCGACGATCAAGGAGCCGAGCAGAGACTGAGAGGAAGTCGCAGCAAAAAGAGGGCGGCAAACAACAATTCGACGGCAGAAGAGGAAATTGACGATTTGGTGACGAGGAAGAAGAGGAATTTGCTGCAAAACAGGGACGAGTCGACGACGGCAGTTGCTGCTTGCAGCGGTGACGAATCGAGGAAGGAGAAAGGTTGATTAGGGTTTAACTTGCTATAAATTTCCAATGGAGGAAAAGTTTTGAAAAAGAAAAAGGAACGATAATGTGGCTTAGTTGGGCGGGAAACTTGGTTTGGCTGAGGTTGGCCTCCAAGGAACAAGCTGGGCTTGGAAAACTTGATGTTTAGTTGTGGCCTTAGCCCAAATATATTTATAGTCTGTATACGAATAGCATGTTAATAGTGTGGATGCGAATTACCCATGTTTCCCCTCTGAGGGCTTCCCTCTTCAGTCTTCACACTTCCCCCCAAACTTCGTGGATCCGTAGATATCTTCTCCGGTCGATCCCAGAATCTGCTTTATTTTCCCGAAAAGGGATCTTCACTCCTCCACTCTTCTTCTTATTCTTCGTCTGATTCTTCCTAACTCACACTCGTCATCGACTTCTCCATCTGCGGCTGAGGTTAATCCAAATCAGCCGCCACACTCGTCATCGACTTCTCCACCTTCTCACTCACCACCTGCTCGACGAAATTCCCCACAGATCCCCTGTCGTCGCAAATGCTGTCTCCAGCTGCGGCACCAGCTGCTTAATCCCATCCTTGCTGACGAATCTCCCTTCCCAAGAACCAATGACATCATTTGATTAGACCACTAGAGGCGAGTGCAATTCTGGTGTTTGTTCTTTCTTGTTTTGTTTTCAGTTCAGTTCCCATTACTGAGAGTGTTTGGTTCAGGGAGAGAAGGGGATAGAGTGATGGGGTGGTAGGGAGGAAGGTATTTGGGGGAACTATGATTTTCCACTCCTGAGTGCTGCTTCTGAAGTTATTTACGATGTAGACTCTTCATAATCTGCTTCTGTTCATCAGATATGGTGATGACGACCAAAGTTTCCCTGTCCCTTTCTTTCTCAAATTTCTCATTTTGACGACCATGGACCTGTTTTGCTTCCGTGTTATTCAAAATTTTAATTCTGCAAGCCATTGATGTTGTAGCAGCTTGTATAGCTATTCAATTTTAATTCTGCACTAATTGTATAATTACTGTATTAATTGCATAATGTTGACTGGACATTTTTTAGGTTTACCGGTGGATCCGAGATACTATGTCCACTTGACATTTTTTTGGGTTATAACATCGAGGAGGGTTGCAGTATGATTATCATACTGAATGAATACAGTGATGAGGAAAGCTAACATAACTATAAGCTAGTTATCCTCACTGCTGCTCTCCCTTGGAAGTAAGCACCAAGTAACAACGAAAGAGAAAGCACTTCAGTTTTATTATATTAGACACACACACACACACACACACACACACACAAGTAGCCATGAATGTCTTTTCATCCCATTGCATTACGATATTATATAGGGATAATATCCATGTTTTCAAGAAATGGTACCATATATATGTAATTACTAGGAAAATGAGCAATTGGGCAATGATATAGCCTTCTCCTTGGATAGGGCAGCAGCAACAACAGTAGAATCATGAGTACAAAGAAGCAAAATCAGTCTCTATTCTATCATCTATGACCGCTTAGCTTGTGAGCAAGCGCTCGAGTGAATTCCAATTTTATTTTGGCTTAAGTCACTTTTATGGCCATCACAGAAGTAGCCTGCAGCATCATTTAATGTTATAGTATAGATTCATGTAGTAACAAAGTAGTTACTTGTGATGTCTGCATATATCGTGATTGTCTTACATTGGTCCTCAACCAGTAAATCTAGCGACTCTTGCAATGGTGGCCAACTTTTTATCTACAGTGGTGTTGAAACAGGATCTGACGAAGTTTTAACAGTGAGTTGTGGAAATGTTTGACAGATAAGATTTATTTTTTAAATTGTGGTTATATCTCATTTATTCCCCCTCTTCCAACCACAGATTGTGACACTAGAATGGTCATCGTCTAAAGCTGAGAGATTAAAATGTGTTGGTCGTATGGACCTCACGCTTACTGGCTCCTTCGCTGACATGATTGTGCTGCCAAATGGGGGCTCAAGTGCCAGGGATAATCAGCACAAAGCTGCTCTTACTGTATAGACCAGCCCTGGCCAATTGCATCGTTTTGACGGTGCTAGCTTATCTTCCTTACTGTCTCATCAAGATAGGAAACCAATGGTTATCTCTCTGGAATTCCCAGCTATAGTGCCAACAGTTGGTCCGCCCATGACTACAGCAAGATTCATTGCATTGCCAATGCATGCGAACTCCCTAAAACTTTCATCCGGGGTACAGTTATCTGACGTGTGCAACTTACCTTTGATTTCTTTTTTGGTTTCTTTTCTTCTAAATATGTTGACTTCTTAGGTTGGTTTAGCTAAGAAGCGAAGCTCCAACTCAGTGGCTGCTAGCCCAAATGAGAGGTCAATAGGGACGCTGAGTCATTCTACTGAAAGCATTGGTGTTGAGAGAGTGTACATAGCAGGATATCAAGATGGATCTGTGTGAATGTGGAATGCAACGTGGCCTGTCCTATCACTTATTTGCCTTATAGAGGGGAAGGTTAGCAAGTACTCTCAATGTTTGTTCTCGATAGCTTATGCTCGGTTGTATGAGGCCTCATTACCTTGATATATCGTTCACAGATGCAAGAAGTAGAGTTTGTGGCTTTCGGTGTTCCAGTAACATCGTTGGACTTCTGCTTGGACACGTTGCTATTGGCTGTAGGAACTGACCATGGTCTGGTAAGAATTGAGAAGTATCTGATGATTTTGAAAGAGTATGGAATATAGGCACAGTTCTGCATGCTAACATTAGATGGCATATTCGTTCCAAAAACTCTGATACAGTCATTGCTTTCCATTATAAGGTGGAACTTCAAGGACAAGATGGAGAAGATTATGAGTTGCGATAGTGGGCACATTGCATTACTATAATTTACTTTACTCATCTCCAGTCAAGTATGAATTTCATGGGTTCTTTCACATTGTTCTAAGGTCTCCAATGAAACTTGACTATGCTTAACGGTTCTGTAGGCGAACGGAAGCGAAATGGCATTCGTATCGCTATTTTCAGGTGAAAATTGTTTCAGGTAAATTCATGCCATCTCCATTCATGCCTGGTAATGCAAAGGTTTTACTTTTCATCTTCTAATGAAATGACGCAGTACACCTTAACTTCCCATGATACTGCAATCACTTCCTTCTCTCATGATAAGGTTCTTGCAGCTGCTGCAGATGCTGCATTTAAGGTCTCCTTCAATCAGAAGAAAAAGCAGGTTCTCATAGTCAAATAACCTCTTAACTTATCCCAAGCTAGACGATGAATTTTCGGCCATGTAGCTTATGCATGGTCACATGCAGGATACTACTAAACCAGGAATCCTTGGCTGTCTTGCCAAAAGCTTCAAAGGCTGTAAACCTGACCAAAACCTGGATGCTTCTCAGATGTGTCATACCGGCAATTTCTCCCATCTTGAGGGTTTGTTTGCCAAACCGCCCGCATTTCCAGACTCGACATCTCGCGAACCACCACAGCCAGAATCTGACTCATCATCTCTTCCTCCTCCAATCAAGAGCGAGAAAGAAGAGGAGCTTAGCATAGATGACATTGTGATAGATGACCTGTCGCCTCCTCTGCCCCAACCAATGACAACCACCTCGAAACAGCCTAAGAAGGAGAAGAGAGGTACCATTTCCTATCAACCATTTTCCCACTGTATTGAACACTGTTGATGTCTGTGTGTACCTGGCTGACGATATGATTTTTGGACGGACTGACCACGACGAGCGAACGGTACAGAAAGGGAACAGTATTAGGCATGGATGATGACATCGGGCCGCCACCTGCAGGGTACATCTTGTTCAAGAAATCAAAGGAGGTTTTGGGAAGATTTCCCCAAGGAAATCCCAGCTCAAGGTTGAAGAAGAGAGGAGGCATCCCCACAATATGATTTCCACCTTTTTCTCCTTTGTTCTTCCCACTTCTTCCATGGAGTAGTCCTCCTCCCACTTGGGTGTAGTGAAACCCTAAACCCTACTATATAGTTTTCTTCTATGTGGTTTGAATGATTGATATTGGTCATTGTTCAATTTAATGTTTGAGGTATTTTCACCATTATTTGGCATGCTTATGCTTAGCAACTTAGGGATTGTGCATATATTGTACTTAGCATCCTAGGGGTGTGCATATTTTGTGTTTAGCATCCTAGGATTGTGCATAATCGTGCTTAGCACCCCTAAGTTTGCGCATTTAGGTGCTAGTAATCTAATTTGCCAACTTAGCATAGTTTAGAGAGGAAAATCCCCATTTTAAGGGAGATTCAATCGAGTTGGTTTTCCTTCCGCTTTCCAAGCCACCTAAACTAGGTCGAGTTAGGGCAATCCTCAATATTGAATTGAACAAGTCGATTAATCGTGATTAAACCATCCGACCTTAGAGTTGAGTGAGGAAGTAAGTCGATTACCGATTGTCTAAACCGAGAGGGTCGAGTGACACGACCTTTCATCTTCACCTTGGTTTAGCAATCGAGACTGTGGTCCCCGACCACATACGCTTTCCTCCGCGTTTCACGATTAGCGTGCCCAAGGCAATCGTTCCATCCCACGTAGCATAGTAGCGGTTTAGGGGGAAGCAAAACCCAAGTGACTTCCCCACAAAAGAGTTTTAAAACCAAATTACTTTTGCTTTCTTTCATTTCAATTGGGAAACCTTTAAACCAAAGTTTTATCGCTAGATACTGATTTCAACAACCGAAGTAGGGGTAGACGGACCGACCCGGGTCGATATATAGATACTTGCCCTATACGACACCCAATTAGAGTTTAAAAACTTGGGTTTTAATTGGGGTTTAATTGCAGTGTAGATTCGAGCGAGTCGGTAATTAGCTATCATGTTGAATATTCGCATGTTTATGTACTTTCTTTTCATCATATACTAATCCCCCAATTTCTGGGGGGGGGGGGGGGGACTTATGGATTTCATTATCTAGCCTTGATGTTTTAATCATGACTTGTTTTTCCTCCATTTTCTATCGTGTGAAATTGATTAACGCTTTGTGTTGATTGGCCCCCTTCACAATGATTTGTAGTTTTCTAGGTTAATAACGATAGTAAAAACCGAATAACCGAACACATTTCACACAACATAATTGCCTATTGAAGTGATAGCGGATTAAATAGGGAATTATGTAATCATTTTAGGGATATCGTTCTTAAGGCTAATTAAATAATCTTGTTAACTACGATAGTAGAAATTGTCTTAATTAGTTAGTACGTGGTGACTCTCGATAGAGATAGCTATCAATTTAAAGGTATCCCGACTTTAGAAATATGGATTAAATTGATTAACAAGGACAATTAAAATTACCAAGGTAAATAGTAGAATCTTGTGTTTCCCCCGAAACTCGCAAAAGTTAATTTCTCCAAAATATTTCATTTTCTGAGTTTATTAATTTTAGTAATTTTGCAACTCATCACTTGATTACAACCTTTGCAATTTCTATAGTTTCTTGAATTAAATTTGTTAATTATTGAATTTCACCAATCCCCTAGAGAACGATAACTTTACTTACACTTTATTACTTGTACAATACTGTGCACTTGCAGTTTTTTCACCAACATTTAGTAATAGGGTATCTCGGATGGGTATGATAAATTTAGTAATAGCTAATAAAAATTGAGTAATATAAAAACACTAATTAAAATCAATCAGTATAACAATCTCAAGTCATTACAATCAAGATCCCTAACACATGGAACTAGGGTTCTTCATACCCAAGTGAGAGAAGGTTCTACTCCATAGAGAGAGAGAGAGGAAAACAGAAATCAGAGTAGTCATACTCATAAAGATGAGGAAAATCTGCTCTAGGATGATGATCTTCACTCCTATGATGATCTCCAAGCTCGATTGATGAGACCCAGCTCCAAAATCACTTATAGGATGTGTTCTTCACACTTTCTCTCTCTAGGGCTCTGTTTCTTGCTCAAAAACTCGATTCCCCACTCCTTTGGCTCGAAATTGGGTTAAAATCCAGTTCTGCCCGATCACACGGCCAGGCCACACGGTTGTGTGAAATCCCCAGCTGCCCGTGTGGAAGTGCAAAACGTCGCGTTTCACTTAAGTGGCTTCAGGTACGCTACATGGCCAAAGCCACACGGCCGTGTGGATTTCCAGTCTGGCCGTGTGAGCTCCCTGGACTTTCCACACGGCCACAAGGGGTCCCATACACGACCAAGGTGGCTTGCCCACGTCATGGAATTCCACACGGCCAAGTCACACGGTCGTGTGTTATTTAGGTCTGCCCGTGTGGAATTTCCAGCTTTTCGTCAAACGTCCCAACTTCGTCCAATCGACCCCGAACTCGTGCCCAAACCTTCTTTCACGTACTAGGACCTGAAATATCACAAACAAGAACATCCTAGTATGAAATCAGCCTAAAACACGAGAGATGAGACTCAAAAGGTACATGAATGGTGGACAAAAACATGTGTAAATATCAAGTCATAATAATTCCCCCAAGCAAACCTGACCCAAACCAATGCAACTATCCATACCTCTATAGAAACATGCAACCCCGATCGTCGGCAGAAGATTTTCTAGATCATTTAGCAACTTACGAGGTCAACTGGTCTTCTAAGACGCTCCCCATCTCTCTCAATGCGAGTACTAGACTCAAGCCAGGATCATGGGAAGCAGTGGAACTAAGACAATCAATTCATGGATAAGGAGACTCACACAATTCAACAACCAAGGACTCATTGTATCGGGTGCTCTTTCATTTCATTTCACTTGGTGGAACCCCTTCTTCTTACTATTTGTTTTTTTTTCTTTGTTGGGGTTCCAACTGCAGTTTGTATGCGCGGTCTGCCTTTATTAGGTGAGCAAGAGCAATTTCTGTACATCTGTCACTCGCCAGAGTACTTCTTTTAACTCTTATTCCTCACTTTGTGTGGAGGGTCAATAAAATTAAGGGGGGTCGGAAGCTCTATCCGTGCCCTTAAAAACACATCCTCAGGTAGGCAAACCGTTCAACGAGCAAAAATTTTACTTGTACTAAAGACAACTTAGCTTCACCTTGTAGGCCTACCCCACCAAGAATCACTAAAATCTCTTCCAAAACCCGATTTTGTGCAATGAACGGTGCAGCACACGTTGGGCTTACCCCATGTCTTAGAATTTCAAATTTTTGACATGGAGGACCAACTGCTTTTTCATTTCACACTTGAGCACCCTTTTTCGATGCACGAGTCCACAACACAACATAAGAGGAGTCATCAATACCACATGAATCAACGGTCCTAAATCCACTAGTTCACAAAATCAACCAGCACCGCAGAGAGACAGATAGAAAAATTCTTATACTTCAACATAATCCATAGTGCTACAACTACCTCCATAGGTTGCATATCACCATAAAGACTGTCAATTCAAAGCATACTGAGCAGGGTTTTGCAGGGAACAGTACTTGGAGCCCTCAATTCATCAAATTGGACAGTGGACTAGGCTTCAAGCACACAAACTCATCTAGCAGTCAAAAATAGATAAACACCCCTCACACTTAAGCACGGCATTGCCCTCAATGGAGCATAGGGAAAGATAAGGGGAAATGATGTTACCGGGAATACGGACTGTCGGGGGACTGGAAATGGGACCAGTCAGCAGGGCTAGAGTCATCAAAACACAGTGTGTGATAGAAACCATAGTTCCAAGTGGACAAACCGAAAAACAAACAAAAGAAAAACAAACCTTGGTGGGGTTGCCTCCCCACAAGTGCTTCTTTACCGTCGTGAGCCGGACGGTGGCTCCTAAGTTTCGGTCCATGCTAGAACCTCATTGAAGTTGAGGTTCTCGTCGATGATGTGGAGTCTCAAGTCACAAGCAGGTGGTATGACAGGTGATGTAGGCTCGTGTACTTGATTAATATGAAGTCTCCACCTGCGAGACCTCTCCTTCGCGTCTGCTCTTGTCTCGTTGCCCCAAACCAGATAAGATATATTCGATTGACCACCATCGCATCCACCAAGAGGGATCGATGTTGATGTGGTCTTGGTCTGGCAAAGAGACACTGCAAATGGGTCCTTGCCAAGCAGCTCCTCAAAATTTGGTGGAGATATCACATGTAAATCATGGTCGGTGCAAGCCTCTTCCACCTCAATTTCATCCTCAGCCTGGACACCACTCGCTTCTTCAACCCCCCTTCCTTCATCAGAATGTGGTTTCTACCATTAGAAAAGATCAAGAACTTCCTCTTCTTTGCTTTCTTCCGCGTCCTCCACAACTTCTTCCCTCACCCTTTCTCGCTCTTCTTCTTCTAGCACAGATTGGAGAGCAAGTCACCATGTAATTTCTTCAATGAGATCATCTTGCATCTCCTCGCTCGGGCCCAGCATATCAGAGCGGAAATGGAGACAGTTGTGATCTACCACCAAAGGATACACTTGATCATGATTATCATGGGAGCTTTCCGCGACAACTTCTATATGCTCCTCAACATCCTCATGATTGCCTTCTTCTTCCTCCTCATCTACTTGTATGGTAGCATAAATATTTTCTTGAGAAAACTGTGCACAAGCTTTCTCAATGACCTCTATGTGCTTTTTTATGCTTCGAAGGGTATCCTCTGTTTCACGGGGAAAGGAGAAGTCAGTTTGGGCCATGGCCTGGATATGAGGATCCATCTCGGGAAAGGATCTCTCAAGTACTCGAGCAATCTGCTCCACGAGATGCCTCAAGT